GTATTTTAGAGTATTTGCTTGTTAATCCATCATCTGTATCATTTCTAGGTCTGTTTCTAGTGATTGATTTTCCTCTTAGTTATGTGTCACCTTCTTCTGCTTCTTGACATGTGTGTAGTGAAGAATTAGCTTTAGCCAATGAGAGGTCAGGTCTTTTTCCCAACAACTTGAGGGATAGCCTCTAATCTGTTGGAATAAAGAATTTGTTGGCCTTACCCCCAGTTCCTGGGAAATTGCCCCTACATCCATGGAATTTCCTGAGTTATAGGAGAATCTTGTTATTCATGGGATCCCTGATAGTTTATACTAACTATATGACTCAGAATGGGGGCTGGCTCTGCTGGAATTACAAACTATGTGATTAGAGGTTGGGGCTTTGACCCATGTGATATCAACCTGACCTATGGGGAGAAGAAGGAGACTGGAGATTGAGTTTAATCACATGGCCAGTGACTCAATCAATTGTGCTTACATAAAAAAACCTTAATAAAAATTCTGGGCGAGCTTTTCTGGCAGACAATACACTGCATATTGTCACATATGACATGCTCGGAAGGCAGTGGATCTTGATTACATGGGGAAAGGACAAGGAAGTTTCGTGTTTGGAACCCTCCCAGACTTCGCCTTATGCATCTCTTCTTTTGGTTGGTTCTGATTTTTTTCTTTTTTGCTATAATAAAACTAATAAGAATAATGCTTTCTTGAGTTCTGTGAGTTGTTCTTGTGAATTATTAAACCTGAAGGGTTAGTGGGAGTCTTCAAATTTATAACCAGCTGTTTAGATGTATATGTGGTCTACAGACCCCTGAATTTGCTGGTGTCTGGAGTGAGGACAATCTTGTGAAGGGCTGTGTCTTAAACCTGTGAAATCTGGCTCAATTCCAGTAGCTGGTATCAGAAGTCAATGCGACGTGTTGAGTAATTTGGAGGATGTTGGATATTGTGAAGGTTACATTGTTACTTGTCTGGATTTAATTGTCTTCCTTTCAAGAGGGTTTAGCTTCATTAAATCACTTGCCAATCATTTCAATCCCTTTGGGGGATTGATTTAACATTTTGTTAGGGAGCTAGAATTCACTCTAAAAATTCCTACCACTAAAGCATGACCTTCTGGGATCATTACTGAATTTTCCAGGTAAGTTCTTTTTTTTTTTTTAATTGGGGAATTGGGGGGATGGGAACAGTGCTGGGGAATTGGGGGAAGGGGAACAGACAAGTTGCTGTCGTTTTGTT